TTTTGTTACCATTGCCATGCATTATACGACTGATAGACTGCAACGGCTGGAGTTAAAAATCATAATTTGTATTCTACTGAAGAAAAAGTCACCTACATCGTGGATGCCCTGGGGGTAAGCAGATAAACATCAAATTTTCATTTTTGGGTGAACTATCCCTTTAAGTGCACTTCTTTTACCATCGTTTTACACCACAGTAAACATTGGGCTCAATGAATTTGTTAAATGGAGCATCAAAACAAAGTGAAACTATGAAATAACATTCCCAGAACGTTGCACGGAGGATTTTTAAGACTAAAACTGTCCTAGTTGAGGATAACAAATCTTAAAAGTGAGATTTTCTGGGAATAGACAAAACCTAACGTTTGCTGGGAACTACAAACTGTCGGCTGGCCTTCATCTGCTGTTAAGAATCAATGTTGAGTGCATTATATCAGTTCTTCAACTGTTTATTTGTCTTTTTTTGAGTGTTGATGGTTCGCTCACCTTTATGGACAGACTTTATAATCACCCTCGCTGCAGGTCCGCATGAACAGGACATATTGAAAACCAGATCTGATGAGAATAAGAAGTCCATATTAAACTCACACATTGCAGTATATTACTACATACTGCTACTAAAAATAACTAAAAATACAAATAAAGTTGTAAGGTGCTGCCAGATATAATTGGCAACTGTCATATATTATCTAAACTGAGAAAATCAAACGGAAAAGCGCATGTTTGACCTTCATGAGTAGCGTTAATGCAGTACTGCTCGACCACACATGCGCTGCTACAGTAACGTTACTCACTGGAGCTGTGTCCGTGTTTGCTCCAGCGCTGATCTGTCGTCCGGTAAGCGGCTCTAACGGCAGGATCCGAGCGCAATCACAGCGAGAAGCGGGCTCATGCCAGCGTCAGCGTCCGCTGCTCTCAGAAGCGATGCTAGAGCAAGTTTAGCGTTGATCAGTGTGATATAACCTCTGCTGTAATCAGGTCATGTGGCCAGAGAGAGAGCTCTGTTTACGCATGAGTGACAGCACGCTAGCGACATCTGTTGGTCAAAGCCATGCAGGAACACCGCAAACATTGCTTTGTTCCGTAAAGTGTATAATGCTATAGTCTGTCATTAAATAACGAGTTCAGATAAATTATCTGTATGTAGTCTTTTGTGTAATAGTTACTCTGCCAGATAGTTATGGCTTCAAACATACTAATATTTCAGTTAAGAAATCCAGGCATTTTATGAAGAAATGAAAGCCATTCTAAGTCATAATTTTGAGAAAGTTTCTCATTATTATGACTTACAGAATTATATTTGTTCTCAACTGTGGCGGAAACGGGCTTCCATAGCACTGAGTATGTGAAGTGAAGAGTTAAAAAAATTCAGGACAGCCAAGCTCCACCCCCTTCAAATCGGAACACGTGACTCTTCTTCTGGAGCTGTTCTGTTTTCGCGGGAAAAGATCACAGCGCCGCACTTGTTCTGCTGTTCTTCCTTGCATTCGTTTACGTGACTCTTCTTCTGGAGCTGTTCTGTTTTCGCGGGAAAAGATCACAGCGCCGCACTTGTTCTGCTGTTTTAATGTGATCAAAGCATTTCTTCCTTGCATTCGTTTAATTATTTATATTAATATTTAATTGTAACAATGTTAGTACTTAATATGAATTATATTTGTATTAATTTTTATTAAAATATATTTTGTTATATGATTTCTAAAAGCGATCTCTAATTGATATCCACATTTAATATTTAGTAGTAATAACAATGATGTCATTGTTTAATATAAATTATATTTGTATTAATTCTATTAAAATATGTAGTTATATTTTAGTATTTTAATTTGGCATATGTTAGAGTCCTCATCTATGTAGGTTTTAAAAACAATCAAACTATTTTTACAACAATGGGAAATAAAAGATGGAAAAAAAAAGAAAGTTATCATACAAAATGAAGAAAAAAAAACTTTATTAAAAACATACTTGGCATGCAACATACAAATATAAATCATCGATGACAATTGCATTCCCTCAACTCAGAAAAAAATAACAGTAAAAGGTCATATTTGTAACAAAAATATTATCATAGCATCTTTATCTATGGCTTGTTCTCCAGTTATATTTTGTTGTGCTTGACTTACTAAACTAAAAAAAAAAAAAAAAGTATTTAATCACTGGCTTATTGTGATCATTAAATATAATGTGATTGTAATTCACAAAAGGTCAGAGAATGCGTGTAGTGTAATTTATTAGCTTATTGCTCAAAATTTAGCAATGGATTACTCACCATATAATTTCATTTCCAAACAATGAACACAGAGACTTCATAAATAGACCTCAAAACCAATTCTGGAATTTGACATATTTGCATTACTAGCATTAATGTGGGATTTCCTTCAAAAGTGCAAGATTTCATAATCTTTGTTTTTTTATGACAGACAGTGGTGCTAGTTACCTCTAGCAGCTCATTCACTGTGCTCCCATGATGCTAACAACAGTAGCGACTACTGTATCATAGTGGAAACTAAACATGATACATTTGCATAAGAGGTATTAGAGATATTTTTGATAAATGATGGCTTTCTGCTCTGCTCTTATGGCTTCATATCATGAATACATACTATAAAATAATAAAGCTAACTCAAGTGTTTGCAATTTTCATTTTGGTTTTCTGTATAATCCAAACATATGAGATGTAACAAAAATAAATGTTTCCCTTGACTATATAAAATAACCGGACACTAACTGCATTTTCACATGGGTCCCTTTTTGGTTACAGTAAACAAAACAGTAAAGGTTCGGTCGCATTAACTGTTGCTCTTTCAATGTTGCAAACAGTAATGTTACATGTTTCTCAGCTGATGCGTGACAGGAAATGATGCGCAGACAGAGTGGATGATCAGCTGTGGAGTGTTTCTCTGAGTTTGCTGGTGATCTTGTCTCGTAGCTCACAGTGTCTGATCAGATCTCTGACCTCCAGAGGAAGTGAACTGTTCCACACGCTCAGCACTGAGTCCTCAGCTGAGACGAGCACAGACACAGGAAACATCAACGGATTATAAATATTAATCATGTAATCATTCGAAGGGCTCATGTAATGCAGAAGCACATGTTCCTTATTCTTCTGAGATAAAATGAACGTCATGCATAGAATTTGTCTTATTATTAAAATTATATTTTCAAATTCAATCTATATGTATTTATAACGTTCTTGCCTTGTGTTTTGATTTGGTCTTGTGACACGCGTTGCCGTCTACCCAGTACTATAATAACATTCTTTCGGTTGAGTGTGTCTGCAAGAGAATATAAACAAAAGATAAGGAATAAATATTTCTGTACAAAATTAGTTAAAACAATTGTAATGAAACGAAACACACAAAAGCTCTTTAAACTGTATATATGCCTTGAGAAAAAAAAAATCCATTAATACTTATTACGAAATAATATACTTTACAAGAACATAATTGACTGTAATGTTTTCAGACACGTAACGGCATGTTAACTGCAATTAAATAAAAATGTACTATAGTGTCAATTTTTATTAAACGCAGTTAGCTGAATTTTAGAGTGCTTTTTGACCCACTAAAGTAGGACTTAAATACATCTTAGAAGTAATTTCATAATTACATATATTGTCTTTTAAAATATGGTAAAAGTCTACGGTTTAAAATATGGTAAAAGTGTATATATAAATATAAAACTAAAACATACGTTAATGTCATTTCTATTGAAACAATTCAGTACATTTAAAATATTTTACATGTAATATTGAATATCACATTGTACCTAGCAGCACAGAGCCCATGCAGCGTATGGAGTGGCAGTGAGGGCTGATGGTCTGCAGTAGCTGACAGCTGGAGACCTCCACCAACAGGATGTGTCCTGCTTTGGTCCCAATCCACAGAGTACCGCTGTGCTGGACCAACAGAGCTTTAACAATCGCCGAAGACGGCACCATTTGTCTAGACTGGTCCTCACTCTGGGCTTTGGGCTTTTTGGTGGGAGTTAATCTGTTGTGGACATATAAATTGGAAGGGTTAGGAAGTCGATACTTAGCCTCAAATGTGAAGATTCTCTGATTTCATGAAACGTAAAGCACAAAAAGTTGTGGAACTACTGCTTCCAAATGATTAAAACTTTCATCATGCCACAAATATGACGTTTCAGTCAAACTCCTATAACAAATGAACTTCAGATGTGCTTCACATGATCAGTTTCACTTCATGTTGACAGGAAGCAAATCCGAGATCTTTCATGAAGTCTTGTGCATGTGTTTTTCCAACTGTTTTTTAATCGGACAGTTATTTTCTGAACCAAATACATTTAATATCTTGTTTTAGTGCAATGGGTGATTGACAGGCAAGTAGGTGGTCCATCACTGATATCCAGGACAGACCAGATTAGCATTAACACTACACATGCATTTCTGTTTTCCTTTCCTAACATTTTGGACCCTACTTGTATTTAGTGCCAACAACTTGTGATCTGATAATCTGAAATGGATGTTAATAACAGGTGTAAATGGGGTCAAAGTGTGTGAATGAGTTATGTTAATGTGTGCCACTTCACCCGAGTAACTGTGCGCAGTCAATTAGGTTCATCATCCTCTCAGTCTTCTTATCCCAGATCTCCACAGTGTGGCCGCCCCTTTTACTTACATACACATGTTTGTCCACCGCTAACCGTGATATGCAAGGATCACTGCTGATTCGACCCTGCTGCCTAAACAAACAAACAGATAAACATGCTTAAGAACTGAACATCACAAAGAAATTCCTTGTAACAGGCTGTTTAACCAACAGCTGTTTTTTAATGTGATGTTTAAGCAAATCCAAAATTATTCATCAAAATCTTACTAAACTTGTCTTCTGCCTTTGACATGATGATTCACCACAATCTCCAGTCTACTCTCTCTGATCTGGACATCACAAAAACTGAACATCACATTCTGAGTATTACTTCATGGGCAAAATACCATCAGCAAACCAATGGGGGTGCCTCAGGGTTCTGTGTTTGGCCCCTTACTTATACTTAATTTATACAGTCTCACTGGACATGGCTTTTAATATCTGTGCAGATTATAATCAGCTTAACCTGTCTTTCATACCTGAGCTAATATTGTGGATTCATCAGGCTGGATGACTTAACAATGTGAACATGAATCTCTTCCTGCCTTATATGTCTTGATGCTTGAACGCTAATGGAGTTATTTTAGTGCTAAATACACCACATGACCGACCTCAAGTATGTAGACAACCCCTTCTAAATGTCAAGTATATTTCAGATAGACACATTACTAGCATGCACAGTACATAAAATCAAGTATAAAATATGACCATGCAATCACATTAGACAAATGTTTTAGAAGAATAGTGAATGGTGCTTTTCTGTTGTGACATGTCATGTGCCCAAAGTGAGTTTGGCATTGGAAAAACCTGACGAGTCTGCACATAGATCACACCTGAACATGTTTGGGATGAATCTGAAAGCTATATGAGTGCTATGGCCCTAAGGGCTCTGAGAATGGGAGCAAATCCTTACACGTTTTACCGCTGAACCATTGAGAGGACCAACATCTGGTTAACAACCATTGTTTTGTTGAAATGAAGCAAGCACATATTGATCAGGTATTTGGGTGTTCACATACCTTTGGAAATGTAGTGTACAGTATACATCAGGGTCTGAAATTAACTTTTGCATTAAGGGGAAAAATTTTAACTGATTTCCGCGGCATTCTTTTTTTACCTTTGTAAGGGCAATTGTTATAATCACCC